AGCCCCAGAAGTTATGAGCATTTGGGGAGTAAACCAGAAGATGGAAGATCTTTCTCTTTCTCCCTTTTCCTCTCTCTCTCTCCCTTCCCTCTCTCCCTCCCTCCCTTTCAAATAAACAAATAAGTAAAAATCTTAAAATCAAAGAAACAAAGAAAACATTTTTATGCTCCCCTACTTAAACAAAAGGTATTTATTGTATGCAAAACTGATAAAATTTGATAAATGTTTGGATTCCACAACTATCAATTTCTGAAATTGTACTACAGCTATGGAAGATGGTACACCTGGGAAAGTAGGTAAAAGGTACACAGGACATCTTTGTACTGTTTTTGCAATATCCTGTGAATCTCTATTTATTTCAAAGTAAAAAGCTTTTCAAAACAAACTATAACCTGAAGCATTTACCTACCTGTGTGATTTGCTAGGGATACTGGAGCAAAATACTAAAAACTAGGTAGCTTAACAACAGAAATTTATTTTCTCCAAGTTCTAGAGACCAGAAGGAAAAAAATCAAGGTGTTGGAAAATCAGGCTCCCTTTGAAACCTGTTGGGGAATCTTTCATGTCCCTCCCTAATCTCTGGTTTATAAATGCCTCACTCCAATCCCGTCTTCACATGGCATGCTTTGTGTGTCTGTCTTTACAAGGCCAGGTTTTTATAAGGACAACAGTTATATTAGATTAGGGGCCTATACTAAAAGCATGCCCTCATCTAAACTAATTATAACATCTGAAGCAACCTTATTCCTAAATAAGGTCACAGTCTGAGGTACGATGGAAGGTTTAGAACTTCCACGTATCTTTATTGGAGTGGGGCGGGCAGGGACACAACCCAATGTAAAACAGTATCCCATAAAAGATTCAATTCTAGAACCTATTATTTTCCACAATGAACATGCCATTCGTTCATTTCTTTTTGCAAAATTCTGACCACTTAGGCATGTCAGTCATTATGTTAGGTGCTGTGAACACAACGCTTAGTGGTAGGAAGAGTCCAGCTCAGATTATTCATCTTTCTTCAAGAAAGCAAAAACTAAGGCTTCTGGTACACCATTAAGAAATTTTCAGAGGTCTGCATACTCCCAACGCTGCGTGCTCATGGTATCCAACAAATGTCAGACAATTCTCTGTAGCACATTTATTTTGTGGTGTTTTTGCATATATGTCTTTGTTCTTCCAACACTTCCTTCAAGAGAAAATACTCAACCTATAAGCACTCGATGATTTGTTAAAAAAAAGGAACTATTTAGTATAAATAACAGTAGTAATTGATTCAGTATCCATATGCCAGATTATCTATACTGTTCTCTTAAATGTCATAATAACCCTTTTCCAGATAGATGGTGGAGCTCTGATTCACACTTGAAATTAAGGCTTGGAGAAGCTGTGATGCAGCCATCCTGACAGACAACTATCAAAAGCAGTCAAATGAGGTGTGAGGACTACTCCAGAGCAACTGCACTTGGCCCAGTTCCGAGGCTATCGTCAGTCTTACACTCCTACATCCACTGAAAATGCTCAGTGCCCTGTATTTGGAAAATCAATCCTATTTAACACACTGGAAACACATTCCATTTTAGTTTCTAGAGATAACATCAAAACTGCATAGGATTTCTGATGCTTGGAATAGAAATACTTGGAGAGATATTTGGATTTAAAAATAAAATACACTGTGCTTTCATCTAATCATACGATCAGAAAATTGAATAAAACCTCCAAGTGCCAACAACAATAAACCACAAAATCCAAGCATTCCAGACATGCAGGATATTTGAAATCAGACTAATTTCATTAAAATGCAAATAACTGATTCAAGAAATGACTATCTAAAAATTAAGCATTGAAGCATCTTAGAATAACTCAAGCCATTTAAACGGACAGAATATTTAAATGTGATTCAAGCTTTCAAGTTTCACAGAAATTATTTTGTAAGTCATTTTCACATAAAGCTTACTTACTAAACTGAATTTTTCCATCGACTGATTGACTCACAGGAGCAGGGAATTCAATCCAGGTCTCCTAAAAGAGTGGCAGGGACCCAAATATTTGAGCCATCATCACTGCCTTCCAAGGTCTACATTAGTAGAAAACCAGAATCAGGAGCTGAGAAGTGAAGCCAGGCACTACGAGGCAGGACAAAGCTGTCTTAACCACCAAACACCTGACGCCAAGGGCTTTATTTATTTAACCAAACTTGAAATCAGTTCAAAGAAAAAAACATCAGTTTGGCTGCCTATTCATGATACAGTAGGGAGGCAACTTGGGAAGAAAGAAGAAATCAGTATCTAAGCCTAGCTGCACTGGCAAATTCAGATTTACTCAACAGCTCAACAGAAAACCTTAAGGGCCTACATTGTGGTACAGAGGATTCAGCTGCCTCTTAAAACCCCAGGATCCCATATGCTAGCGTTGCATATCAGAGAGCCAGTTCGGGTCCCAGCTAATCCACTTCTGATCCAGCTTCCTACTAAAACATCTAAGAGGCAGACAAAGGTCCAAGTCCTCGGGCCCCTGCCACCCACGTGAGAGACCTGGATGGAATTCCTGGCTCCTGGCTTCAGCCTGGCCTAGTCTGTTGCAAGCATTTTGGGGTGAACTAGCAGATGGAAGATCTCTCTTTCTGTCTCTCACTCTCTTTCTGTAGCTCTTCCTTTCAAATAAACAAATCTCAAAAAAAAAAAAAACAAACTATAAAAATGTGTCATTTCTTCTCTGTGAGACATTTTCCAATAATAAACACTTTGCAATCAACTTATCCCAACAGGATGAGCTTTTTATGCTTCCTACATACCCAAAATTTTGTAGTGCTTTTTTTTTTTCTCAGTGAGACCCCACGCGACAGGCAGAGTTAGACAGTGAGAGAGAGACAGAGAGAAAGGTCTTCCTTCTGTGGTTCACCCCCCAAATGGCTGCTACGGCTGGAGCGCTGCACCGATTCAAAGCCAGGAGCCAGGCACTTCTTCCTGGTCTCCCATGGGGGTGCAGGGCCCAAGTACTTGGGCCATCCTCCACTGCACTCCCAGGCCACAGCAGAGAGCTGGACTGGAAGAGGGGCAACTGGGACAGAATCTGGCACCCCAACAGGGACTAGAACCCGGTGTGCCGGCGTCGCAGGCGGAGGATTAGCCTAATGAGCCGCGGTGCCGGCCTGTAGTGCTACCTTTAATAACTCATCCTTTTAACATCTGTCAATCAGCAAATGGTCAAACAGAACATTCCTGGATGCATCACAAACAGTATGAATATTCTGAAGAAATCAGTTTGGTTTTTTTTGTTTCTCTGTTTTTTGACAGGCAGAGTGGACAGTGTGAGAGAGAGAAAGGTCTTCCTTTTTTCTGTTGGTTCACCCCAAAAATGGCCACCAAGGCCAGCGCTGCGCTGATCCGAAGCCAGGAGCCAGGTGCTTCCTCCTGGTCTCCCATGCAGGTGCAGGGCCTGAGGACTTGGGCCATCCTCCACTGCACTCCCGGGCCACAGCAGAGAGCTGGCCTGGAAGAGAGGCAACCGGGAAAGAATCCAGCACCCCGACTGGGATTAGAACCCGGGGTGCTGGCGCCGCAGAGGAGGATTAGCCTAGTGAGCCGCGGCGCCAGCCAGTTTGTTTTTGCTATTCCAATTATTAGCTACCATAAACTTCAGTGTTTTGTAATGTTAATTTTTAACAGACTCCTATAAGCTGCATTGATTTTTAAGGATTTCTAACTTTCTGAAAATTATTCATCATTTGTATTTAATTACAAATTATTTCCAAAGACACAGTCTCATGTGATTAGTTTCTCCAGTGTCTTGACATCAGAATAACTACAGAACAACAGTGCACGGTATTTTCTATACACAAAATCCAGAACTGAAAGCTAGAAAACAATCTGGAGGACCATCACAGTCATCTCACCGATGCTATTACTGTGGCAACAGGAATGCAGTCACTTGCACAACAGCGCACAGGACGTTGATAGGAAACCTATTACACAAAGCACAAGAGCTTGAGTATTTTGCAAACACTCTTAAGATCTATGTGCTGGGGCTGGCACTGTAGCAGAGTGGACAAAGCCACCACCTGCAGTGCATCCCATATGGGCGCCCGTTCAAGTCCCAGATGCCCTACTTCTGATTCAGCTCGCTGCTCATGTGCCTGGGAAAGCAACAGAAGATGGCCCAAGTGCTTGGGCCCCTGCACCCATGTGGGAGTCCTGTAAGAAGTTCCTGGCTCCTGGCTTTCACCTGGCCCAGCCCTGGCCATGAACTAGCAGATGGAGGATCGATTCATTCATTCATTCATTCATTCATTCCCTCTCTCTCTCTCTCTCTCTCACTCTGTGTGTGTGTGTGTGTGTGTGTGTGTGTGTTTCTCTCTTTCGGCCTCTGCCTCTCTGTAACTTTACCTTTTAAATAAATAAATCTTTAAAGAAAGAAAAAAGGACCTATGTGCTGGGTGAGGATAACACACAAGCATGAATCAGTGGATGCAACTGGTGAGCAATAGAGCCACCGCGGTCAGCCAGCAAACAATGGATGCAGGACTGAGCTCAAGGAGGAAATGTGACCCTATACAAATGAAAGATGTGGGATAAAGAAGCCAAGAAAGGGGACAGGTGAAGTCTGAGAGCGCGAAAGTCAAAACAAACAAGCAAATAAAGGATGAAAAGTCTCCTCCCTGAAGGGAAAAGACAGGAACTAAAGAAATAAGGAGAACATCACTAGAAATGCTTTTCTTGAGAAAACTTACTTACTAGGGTAATTGTAGATAAGACAATCTACCTATGTCCACATTTTTACATAGCAAAGAAAAAGAAATCTGCTTCTGTAGTGAGAATATTCAAAATCTTCTTCCAGCTATACTGAAATATACACATATTATTATTAGCTTCAGTCACCCTAGTATGCCACAGAACAGTATAAAACACTATACCTCATTAATATCTACAATTATCATTTGTCCAGCAAAAGTAAAGGAAAACACAGAAAAAAAGAAAGAGTTTTGAGGATAACTTGTTACTCACCAAACCTGCTATTGGTGTGGACAGTCTATTGATCTTCTTAATGACACCAGGTTTAAGCTTATTGATCAAACTGCAAGTAAATAAAGAAATAACATGCCATTATAAGAATGCCAATATCAGTCTAGTGGCTTTGTTAACATTCTAAAAAATCACACATCATTATCCACTCCTCAGTGTGTTATTCAGAATAAAAAGCTCATTGAAAAGCAAACAATCAAGAAAACAAGTCAAGAAACAAAGAACAGGGCCGCCCACAAGGTGACTGGGTCTTCCATGGCACAGTGCAACAGCCAAAGGCACGTCCTGAAAAACAGCTTTACATTTCTTAAAAAAAAAAGGTAATATTTGGATCTATTACCATAACCAGTTGAAGAATCTCTTTATCACAACTTAAGCTCTTAATATTTACTGATATACTTTCCTAGCCCTAAGAATATTTTTCTCCATTAATAATTTTCATTTTTTTCCACAAATTGATCTGTATTTTAAAAAACAGCTTCACACCCATGTTGTTTCACTAAATTTCATGGGTACAGTGGAACTCATCCAGATAGTCAACTAATACTGAGACTTACACATTCAAGCCCATGACTGATTGCCTCGTTACCATAGCAGAATGACTTGGTGAAAATTAAATTAAATGTACCAGAATTTCCCCAGATTAGCCAACAGTTAGCTCAGAATCTAACTGAGCATGTTAATGACAGTTACTGCAAAGATATCCAAGTCTCCATCCCCTAAAACCCCAAAGAAAACCTCAGCTTTGATAACTGTAACTTAAGAGTACAATGTTGGTCCTAAGTTAAGAGAATTATGAATTCTACTTTTAGTTGTTCACTGATATAATGCCAGGCCATGGAGAAATTTAACATTATAATAACATTATAACATTATAATTATGCTTTTCTATCAACACTAGCTTGGTTAATTAATCACTGTCAGAAAACAGTTTCTTCAACAGTGATATTCTAATTCAATAATGCATCCACAAAGAAAACTTTTTTTTTTTAATTTTGTAACACAGCTACAAAAAGGAAAGCATATAAAGAGAAAGAACCAAACATTCCTAATTTACTCCTCTTCACAACGAACAACAGGGAAAAAAATTCCAAAGCTCGTGGAATGTCACTCTTTCAACATTCCAGAGATTCATGTGTACACTTGAGTGTGCTAAGAATAAAAAGGACAAAAGTCTCAGTTTAATTACCTTCAGAATGTTGTCCGACTAGATTCAAAAATTACAAAGCAATGGCTTATGAAGATTTAGTTTGTTAAACAAAAGGTGTTTTCCTGTTTTTGTAGTTTTCTTCACACAAAGATCATTAGACAATTTAACACAGATAATAAAACCATCCTTTTGACTGTAAGCATTTCCTAGAACTGTTAGTCCATGAATGCTCATTTTTTATTTGTGCACTGAAACCCAGGAGAAAAGAAGGCATACTCCCTTCACGCCCACAGTATTTTTCTTTAAACACCAGTTGAGGAGCCAGAAAAGAATTGAGCAGGTTTGCAAGAAATGACAGTTCCAAATAATTCTTGTAGTTGTTCTCCATCCAACAGGTATTTCTGTAATTTCTATAATTTTATTATAGGTAGCACTCTTGCAATGCAAAGAACTTAAGACTAAAGAACTGTTCAACAGGCACCTCATTCTGGCATATCAAAACTCAACAAATCGCGTGCAAGGACTGCTACTGTGGTGCAGCAGGTAAAGCTGCCACCTGCTATGCCGGCATCCCATGAGTGCTGGATCCAGTCCAGTTCAGATGCAGCTTCCTGCTACTGTGCCTGAAAAGCAGCAGAAGATGGTCCAAGTGCTTGCGCCTCTGATACCTCTATGGGAGACCAGACAGAGCTCTAGGCTCCTGGCCTCAGCCCAGCCCAGATCTGGCCATTGACGCCAACTGGGGGAGTGAACCAGTGAGTGGAAGATCTTTCTCTCTGTGTCTCTCCCCTCTAACTCTGCCTTTCAAAGAAATAAAAAAAAAAAAAATCACAAGTACTAGCTTGGCAGTGACTTCCTTGGAATAACTTGTATTTTAAAATCAATTTTTCAGTGGTAAGAAGTCAGAGGCCAATACGAGCTAGGGCTACTAATCTCAGGAAACTCTGGCACCAGTTGTCCTAATTAGATGAAGACTACCATGAATTCCTGCCCCACCTGCTTGAGTCACTTGGTGACTCTGGCCAGGTCAAACAGCTTACCTGTTTATATCACTGATTTTTGTATTACAGGATTAGTAATTTCAATCTGAAAATACAGCTTCTGGAATGAATAATAACACAGGCTGCTCTTAATTGAGTCAGCCAAGAGACGTCAGGGATAGAGTTTAAGGAACCAGCACAGATGAATGCTCCCTCATCAGAAGGTTTCACCAGAGCTATTATTTACAAGCAACACAGACACAATGGATTAACGTTCTTTACTCCTGAACCTTCTAGGACATGTGCAAACACGGAAATAGCCACAAGGAAAAAATAACACTCTGGAGAGCGCAAAAACCACCCTTGGGAAAGGTGAGTCAGCAGAGGAAAATGCTGTTTGATTTGGTTGTTATAGTGGCCATCAGCTGAAGCACTAGAATATGGAGAAAACACACAGGTAGCTTTGGCAGACACTGAACATCTAACCAAAATTTTGAATTATCGGTAATTTTCATATAAAATTAAAAGCACTTTTTGGATATTGCTTCCAAGGAGAATAAGTAGGTTTAATAAAAAAATCTAAACTTCCATGAAATTTAAGTATACCTAAAGGAATATGCACATTTTCTTAGGTCAAACAAAATGCAAGTGCCATCAATGGAAATACTCTTTAACAAACTTTCTTTTTAAAAAATATTCATTTATTCATTTGAGAGCAGAGTTACAGACAGAGAGAGGGAGATAAAGAGAGGTCTTCCACCCACCAGTTCACTCCCCAAATGGCAGCAACGGCCAGAGTTGGGCTGATCCGAAGCCAGGCCTCTGGGTCTCCCATGTGGGTGCAGGGACCCAAGCACTTGGGCCATCCTCCGCTGCTTTCACAGGCCATTAGCAGGGAGCTGGATCGGAAGTGGAGCCTATATGGGATGCCAGCACCACAGGCGGAGGCTTGACCTACCAGGCCACAGCACCAGCCACAAATACAGCTTCTCTGCATGCGTGTTCTTGCATTTCATGTGTCCCTAAAGGAAGCACTGCCTTCGTCACTGACTATTCACCTTCTAGTGCTTCACTGACGAGGATCTAGAGTCGGTCAAGGGACCACCTTACCTCCCTGTCGGCCCTATCCCTTCTAACCCTTGCTAGAATGACCTTGCTATTCTTCAGAAGTGGAGCAGCCAGGACTGAAACCGGAGTGCATATGGGATGCCGGTGTCGCAGGCGGCAGCTCAAACCACTGCGCCAGGACACCAGCCCCACAATCACATCCCCCACAGTATCAAACATTTACTGTTAAGAGCTAAATTTCCTAAAGATATAAAACTGTCATGTATTTCTTATAAAATCTAAAGTTACATTGTTTGTTTTATCCTCTGTATGGCACCAGTGTACTTGCCTACTTTTCTTGTAAACGTAAATCCTGATCTCTACACCTTAGCAATGCTTACTGAAGAGCACTAGGCAGGGAGAAGCCATACACCATTCAGATCAGGCAGCTGCTGGGGGACAAACATGTCTCTCATTCCAAACAGCATCTCCCAGCGCTAAGGTGACCTATAGGTGCTCTGAAAACCCTGGCTAAATATCCCGCCTAGCTTTTTATTTTTAAGATTTTATTTATTTATCTGATAGGTAGAGTTACAGACAGTGAGAGGGAGATACAGAGAGAAAGGTCTTCCTTCCCTTGATTCACTCCCCAAATGGCCTCAACAACCGGAGCTTTGTGGACCCAAAGCTAGGAGCTTCTTCTGGGTCTCCCATGCAGGTGCAGGGGCCCAAGCACTTGGGCCATCTTCTACTGCTTTCCCAAGCCATAGCAGAGAGCTGGACTGGAAGAGAAGCAGCCAGGACTAGAACCAGCGCCCATATGGGATGCCGGTACCACAGGCAGAGGATTAACCTACTGTGCCACGGAGCCGCCCCCCCCCCCCAGCTTTTAATGCAGAATTTTTCCTATGATTGATCCAAAAACCATTTTCTTCATAGAAATAAATTGAGGAAATTCTCACTGTGGTTTCCATCAAATACTAGAAATGACTTTTTGCTTACACCAACAGCACTTCCCCTCTAGTACTTTTTCTGTTTCCAGACAAGCGAAGCCTTAATATTCTCTCAGAACTGTCTAAGCTGACCAAGGGAGTAAGCTATCTGATACATTCATTTATTCTGGTTACCTGAAATACATGTTTTACAAAGATCTTAAATTAGGCCGGCGCCGCGGCTCACTAGGCTAATCCTCCGCCTAGCGGCGCCGGCACCCCGGGTTCTAGTCCCGGTCGGGGCACCGGATTCTGTCCCGGTTGCCCCTCTTCCTGATCCAGCTCTCTACTGATGGCCTGGGAAGACGGTGGAGAATGGCCCAAGTGCTTGGTCCCCTGCACCCACATAGGAAACCTGGAGGAAGCTCTTGGCTCTTGGTTTCTGATCAGCCTTGCTCTGGCCATTGCAGCCATTTGGGAAGTGAACCAGCAGATGGAAGACCCAGCTCTCTCTATATAACTCCGCCTCTCAAGTAAATAGGTAAATATTAAAATTTTTTAAAAGGAAGCAAGAAAGGAAGATACAAGGAAATATGAATTGAACAGCAACAAGTCAATACCAACGTATTTACATCACCATTTTTTATGACAGAACTTCCTTATTTGGCCTCTCTTATTCTTGAAGCTTCCTTAACTGAATCTAGTGAAGCTTGCATAGTCTGACAGTGGATTCCTTTTATTCTGAGGAAATTCAATAGTTTATAGGACTAACAGACTTCACTGAGTAGCAGGAAATTTACCAATACCACCAAAGCAAAGGGTATTTTAGACCCAGCTCTGATACCGTTTGTAATGGGTAACTCAAAAAATGATCTCAGATCAAAAAGTAAAAAGCAGGATCATAAAACTCCTAGAAGATATCCTAAGAGAAAAATCTACATGA